ATCTCAACTATTTTATAATTATTATCTAATGGTAATGCTAAAGGTTTAAGTTGAGTTATGTCTTGTTTGATATTTTGAACTAATTTAATATCTTCACTATTAAAATATTTTTGACATGTTTTACTGGTTTTACTATGCAATGCTGTAAGCTTTCTTCCTAAATCAGGGATAAAACTTCTAGCATAATTTAATAATCCTAAAAATGCTTATAATTGTTTTTTATCTTCTAATTTATCTGGAAATTATAACGCTTTTTTAGCTATGTGTTCTTGTAATTGTATAGTTCCTGACTTAATATACATACCTAAAAATTTTATGTCTTGTTTTTCAAGCTTTACTTTATTCCTACTTATGACTATACCATTATCAATAAATTCTTTCAAAATAATTTATAAGTGTTTTCTATGTTCATTTTTATTTTTACTATGAACAAGTATATCATCTACATACACACTACAAAAATTATCATACTTCTTAAAAATTTGATCCATCTTTCTTTGAAAGATCGATTTTGCATTCTTTAATCCAAATGGCATGACAAGCCATTCAAAATGTCCTTTTGGACAAGTGAATGATGTCCATTGAATTGATTCTTCTGCTAATCTAATTTGCCAAAATCCTGATTTACAATCAAATTTACTAAAATATTTACTTTCTTGAATTATATTTATAAGTTCATCTTTATTTGGTAATTTCTAACTATCTTCATAAGTAGCATCATTTAATCTCCTATGATTATAAACTATTCTAGCTTTACCTCTTTTAAACTCTAAGTTTTTTCTAACTACAAAGGCTACTGATCTATGCTTGAATTTTGAAGGTCTAATTACTTTTAAATTTAATAATTCTTTTATTTATTATTCAAATTCTTGCTTGTCTAACAAGTTATAGGGCATATATGTTGTTTTAATTGTTAAGTCTGGATTGATAATGTCTAATTTTGCTAATATCTTATTCCAATGTAATTAGGGATCTTCTCCTTTAATTCTAGTTTGTTCAGCTAGTTGTAACAGTTCTTCTAAAGTCTTTAGAGCATTCGCAATGATGCTCTCTATTTCTTAGCTAAAATTTAGCTAAAAATATAAGAAAGCTATTTTAGGAGCTCTCTAAAAAATTTCAACTCCAACCATACTCCCTAATTTGGAGAGTCATAAATGCTATAACTCTTTTTTGATTGGTCCATCTCTATTAAAAAATAAAATAAAAAATAGTTAGCAATAAATAAAGGTTTGAAATACTTATTAAATAAGGCAGCATTAAATTATAGGGAGCCACTATGAGTACTTTCTCTCTCCTTAGATTTAGGAGCTCCTAGAAGACTCCCTATTTTAGGAGGTGGATAGGGAGCATGGTTGGAGTTGCATTTTTACAATTCCTCCCTAAAATTTGTCTAAGGAGGTAGTTTAGGGAGCCCATTGCGGATGCTCTTAGTCTATCTATTTGCATAATCTCTAAAGACTCTATTTCTCCTACAATTGGATACTCATGGTCAAATATTATATCATCATATTCTAGATTATTTTGTTCATCTATCTTTTCTTCATTTATTTCTTCTAATTCTTCCATATTATAGTATTTAAAATTTTGTTCTTTTATGTTAATACTATTGTACGACTCTAATACATTACTTTGATCAATTGTGGTTATGCCTTTCTTAAAAAATGTAATATCTAGAGGTGTATATAAAAATCCTTCTTGTAAACTTTTTAAGAAATTTAATCCTAAGATAAAGGGATATGATTCCTACTGGGGATATAAAGGTTAAGGGTAAATTAAATTGTTGTCTTTCTATCCTAATTAGTATATTATTAATACAATGTGTTAAATATACATATCTTTTATCAAATTGTATTATAGTAGTCTAGTTAATTTTTGTCTAAATTGTTCTGACACTAACTCTTCTTTTATTACATGTTTTGTGCTACCTATATCTATCATAGCTATTGTTTGAATTTTATTTTTGTTTGACAATTCTAACTCACAATTAATTGTTATTAATGAACTAATCTTTTGTTTCTCTATGTTATGGCTATTATTCTTTTGATTATTGTTATCTATTATTTCAATTGTACATGTGATCGGTGCATATTTACATATCATTTTGTACCCTTCTAATTTATGATTTGGTTATGTTTTTGAGTTAAACTTGTGCTTTTAATAAGTTTTGTGTTTGTTTCAGTGTAATAAACTTAAGGACTCACTAATTGCATTTTGGAGACAAGTTAGCTCAAAACGGTGTCTGCAGATCAGTCAACTTCACGGATTGGACTGTACTTGCTCAAGAAGAACCAGATGATGAGCCATATATCATTGGAAAGATACGGAAGTCTAGTTTCTGTATAATTTTACGGTTCATGATTCTGAGTCTTCTAGAGAAAGTTATACATGTTTTGGCAACTTAAGGTCAAATTCGGCAGCATCTGCG